GTGCGCGGCACCCGAGGCGGGGGGATGCTCCGCGCGGGGCCGGGGGAAGCAGGGGCTGGGGCCGCCTCAGCCTGGATGGGCGCCGCGAGCACGGCACCGGGCCCGGCTGTCCGCTTCCCCGGCCCGCAGCCCTCCAGCCGGGGGAGGCCCCGCCCCCAGTTCCGCCCCGCCCCGCCCCTTCGGCCAGGAAGGACGCGCCCGGGGGCGGGGCCTACCCCCACCTCAGCCAGTCACGGGGGCGGGGCTCGCTGCGGTTCAACCGCTTCCGGCCCCGCTCTGGGAGACTACACTTCCCGGCATCCTCTCTGTTCCCTGCCGCCGGTGCAGCCGCGGTCCCGGCGCGGGGCAGACTGGGAGTTGTAGTCCCCACCGACCCTCGTCGCCGCTCTCCCTGCAAGCCCAGCCCCACCCCTCCAGGATCACTTTCCCGGGCCCCGCCCCTTTCCTTCTCGGAGCCCCGCCCCCGGCTCGCGGCCCCGCCCCCTGCGCAGTGCACGCGTCCGTGGCTGCGGCAGCGGCCGCGCGGTGCGGGGAGGGGAGTGGCCGGCGCTGCGCCTGTCTGGGCCGAGGGCTCCCCTGAGGCGGCGGGCGGGGTCTCGCGCCAGCCGGACATGGCCGCGGAGCGCGGGGGGCTGCTCCCTGGAGGCGCTGCCGCTGCCGCCCGAGGTGCGCGAGAGCCTGGCCGAGCTGGAGCTGGAGCTGTCGGAAGGTGCGAGTCGGACGCGGGGGGACGGGGAGGGCGAGCCCCGCACCTGAGCGGCGCTGCGGCCCGGCCGGGGCGGGGCGGGGTCCTGGGCTGCCCGCACGCTGGGCCGGGGGGAGGTGAGAGAGCGGCGGGACCCCCGGCTCGGCCCCCGTGTCCCGCCCGCAGCGCCGCCGCCGCTTTGGGGCTGGCTCGGGTCCGCCCCGCGCCCGGGCCGCTAACGCCCCGCTGCCCTCGGGAGGCTCCGAGTGCCGGGCTGGCCGCGCCCGCCCAGCGGCGTGAGAGCCTCGGGAGCCCCCGTCGCGGCGTGTCCCGGGAGCGCCGGGCGGGGAGAGCGCCGCGGGCATGCCGTGGTGCTCGGGGCCGAGCCAGCCTGAAAGTGCGGGTCAGACCTGGTGTGCCCTCCCCCCAGTGTAGACACACGCCGAAGAGATCAGCCGGGTTACTTTTCTCCCCGGTTTGGGATGATTGCTGCCCTATACGAGCTTTTGCATTGTGTAGCGAAGTGCCCCGGAGCCGGGCACTATGTTAATTCCTCGTGTAAGTCCCGTATGGATGGGAAGTGTGGTATGTCCGCGGTACTAAGAAGCGTTGGTTAGTCATCAGACATGTTATACTATCATTTTATATTCAATTATTTTGGCTTTAAACAGAAAAGTGACTCTCCATAAGTTCTAGATGGCCTGACATTAGTTAGCTACACTCAGCAACACAGTGCAATAAGGAAGTCACATTCCAGCCAATGAGCATAGCACCAAAAGTAAAGCCCCCATACCCTTGTACCTCTCCAGAGGCCCTCTCAGATGGTGTTAATATTTATTTCTGTAGTAGTTTCTTTGCTAGAATACTGTCTGGGATACTGGAAAGTGGGAAGGTGCTGGGATTCTGCTCAGGGGCTCCTTCTTCTGCACCAACCTTTGGCTAATAGGTGTCTACTAGATTTGATGCTGCTTCTCCCACTCAACTCCTGGTGCTGGAAGAGGGAAAGACCCTTTTCTCTCTCCCACTGTACCGGAGAGTCTCCAGGGAGG